GGGCCGACTGCACGAGGAGATCTGGCTGCGCCGTCCTCCTGGCTTCACTGACACCTTCCCACCTGGGACCCAGTGGAGCCTGAGGCGACCAGTCTACGGTCTCCGCCAGTCGCCCCGTGAGTGGCACGACACGCTTCGCTCCACGCTTCGTGACCTTGGGTTCAGCCCGTCCTCCGCCGACCCGTCGCTGTTTGTTCGAGCGGGTTCTACTCCTTTCTTTATCCTTGTCTACGTCGGCGACTTGGTGTTTGCTACAGCAGACAGGGCAGCCTTGGCTCAGGTGAAGTCCGAACTGCAGAAGAGACACAAGTGCACTGACCTGGGTGAGCTGCAGCGCTACCTTGGCCTGCAGATCACCCGGGACAGAGCCGCTCGCACCATCACACTGACGCAGTCACACATGGTGCAGCAGGTCCTTCGGCGGTTCGACTTCCAGTTCTCCACCACACAGCCCACTCCTCTTGCTGTTGACCACAGACTCACGGGCCCCTTTCCTGACGAGCCCTTTGAGTCCAGTGGACCCTACGCAGAGCTGGTGGGCTGCCTCATGTACCTGATGACTTGTACTCGACCGGACCTCGCCTTTCCACTCAGCATCCTTTCTCGTTTTGTTGCGACTGGGAGACACCGCCCTGTCCACTGGACAGCTGCTGTGAGGGCGAAGTACCTGGCGACTACATCAGGCTTGGGGCTTGTGCTTGGAGGGACTCAGCCAGTGGCGTTGACTGGTCACTGCGACTCTTCCTACGCTGACGACGTGGAGACTCAGCGTTCGACTCAGGGTTACTGCTTCAGTCTGGGAGCTGGTGCTGTGTCGTGGAGGTCTACACGGTCGTCGTCTGTGGCTACTTCCAGTGCAGAGGCAGAGATCTACGCTGGTGCCATGGCGGCACAGGAGCTTCGCTGGTTGACCTTCTTGCTCGCCGACCTTGGTGAGCGGCCTCGCTCTGCACCGACCTTGTACGCTGACAACAAGGCCATGATCCTCCTGTGTCGAGAGCCTCGACTGGAGAGCAGAGTGAAGCATATTGACGTGAGGTACTTCCTCCTGCGAGAGTTGCAGCGACGCGGCCAGGCACGCTTGGACTTTGTGGCCTCACAGGCCAACACTGCCGACGTCTTCACCAAGGCCTTGGCGCCTGGTGACCACCACAGGTCCTGTGTGCAGTTGGGGCTTGTTGAGGTAGGCCCTCGGTTGCTGTAGACTTGCTGTTTGCTCTACTTGTTGTGCTTCTATATATATACTAGTAAACTCTTGAACTGGCCTTGTGGCCACTTGCTTGTGCTCGGAGTGTGTGGTGACTCTGAGCGCCACCCTGAGCTTTGTTTTTTATGGTCTTGTGACCCTTTGTTTCCGTTGGTTGTTTTGATGCCCCTCACTTAGCCTATGGGGGTGTGTCAAATGTTTATATATTCTATATATTGTTAGATAGGCTTTAGTGAGTTTCCCTCTAAAGGGTACAACACTTTAGGTCGACATTTGTATCTCCTTGTCTCTCCTTACTCAATCATCACTATCGACACTTGTCTCCTAGCCTATTTTAAGAGTGTACAGCGATGCCACGCTTCATCGGACGTTTCTGACGTGGTGCTGCGTGTTTCCACACCTTGTGCTGGCAACATGTTGCCCGTAATGTTTTGGGGAAGACGGCACGTTGATATTTAGAGAACGAATAATCCCGGAACTGTTTCTAAGGGCGTGTAACCATTTTGACCCTGACGGTTCGAACTGTGGACCGTCCGGGTTAACGAAGGATTACTAGCGTCGCATAAAGTCGTTACGGAACTCGTGAATGCTTGTGCGACGTCGCCAACAATTCGGACCGTCGTGACACTTTTTCCTCCTTTTCACAGTTCGAAATGTGAACCGTGGACAGTCCGAAATCCAACCGGACGGTCCAACAGCCCTGGCCAGAGATTGGCGCGCGATATTTCAATGTACAGTACTTCTAATGAATGGTGGACGAAGTTTATTTGCGAGACGTCGTGAATAAAGTTACGAAGCTACAAGCCCCTAACGAGACTACAGTTATCGCGAAAATAAGCAACACGGAAAAAGTGTCACTTTTCCATCCGGACGGGCCAAAGTTGCGAAACTTCAATACGGACCGTCGATTTCAAAATTTACGGAAAGTCCGCAAAAATGGTTACACGCCCTAATATTCGAGTGGATAACTGACCTGCATAATTGGCATAACTGAACTCCAATATATTCAGTTCAGTTTTCTTCGATTCGTTTTGTTCTCTGCAGCAGATATTGGACCCGTTTCGGTCAACTCCAGATGACACGTCACGTCAGGTACAGAAGCAAAGGGGGCGGAATGGAAGTCGCACGCTGGCGGACAAGTGACTGGCGGAAATGCAGTAGGCAAGCAAGTCATCGGTTCAAGAATAGCAGGCGGCATTCGTCCACCACATACCCACATACCCGAGCTTCTTTGTTGAAGTGCTGCTTTTTGTTAGTCGCCCATAAGCACGGTACGTGTCCGCTGCCAATGGAGCTTCAAACACCCTGATTTCACTCTGTTAGACACGTAATACAAGAATCGCGCTTTTTGTTCTGCGTTCGGCCCGCGACGCGTTTTGGTTCACGGAATATTGCCTACCCGTCTCCGTTACGCAAGCGCTTGTTGAAAACTTCGCGCAATGGCCGCGTTGAACGCCACCGAGATCGTTTTCCGCGGAGGGACCATAGCATCTCCGCGCACTTGCGCAACCTCCGCCGCCCGTCCCTTCTACCTTTGCCCTCCTTGTCTCCCGGTACTTCGTCTCCCTGCTCTGCGCGCTTTAACTGGCGGAGACTCAACGCCCGCCTCCTTCCGCCAAGCCCGCCTTTTGTCCCCGCACTCTCCGCCCTCCCAGCTTTGAGACATCTCACAACGAGACGTCTCAAAACTAGACATCTCAATACTCGTTCCCCGCGGACAAGGTCATGCAGGGATACGCCTACATCCTCACCCACCCCGGCATGCCCTGCGTTGTGAGAACTTTCGCCCTGCCCCCCCCTCCTGCTTGAACTTTCCCTCTGGTATCTCTTTCCCTCCGCTTGCTCTTTCCCTCTGCTTGCTCTTTCCCTCTGCTTGCTCTTCCCCTCTGCTTACTCCCGTCTCCCCACTCCTGCTAGTCCCCCTCCCCCCCTTCCACCCCCATCTCCTTGCTCTCTCTCACCGCCACGCCCCCAGTTCTATGACCACGTGTCCACCTGGGGCCTATAGAGCCGAGTGCGACTGTTGACTCACTCATAAACACCCCCCTCTCCTCTCCGCACTCCCCCTCTTGTCCCTCCTTCCTCTCACCGCCACGCCCCCAGTTCTACGACCACGTGTTCACGTGGGGCCTTAAGAAACCCATTCTGGAGCTCATAGCCGTGCGGCAGCGCAATGGTATCAGAGCCGACTCGCCCATCCGCATTCTCGCAGCAGAATCCAACCTATACGTGGCTGAAATCGGCCCAGGGAAAGCCAGTTCAGATGGTGGAGCGGAGGGAGGAGGGGGGGATGGGAGTGTGCGGGCGAGGGGGGGAAAAATATTGGTGAAGATAGGGTCGCAGTTTGATATGGGAAAGCTGCTGCCCAGCAGTAGTGAGTACAGTGTGGTTACGTATGGGGATGGATACTGCGTGTGGGAGAGTAAGGGTTGAGTGTGCGGGCGAGGGGGGGGGAGGTAGTGGTGAAGATAGGGTCGCAGTTTGATATGGGAAAGCTGCTGCCCAGCAGTAGTGAGTATTCTGTGGCGACGTACGGTGATGGGTACTGCGTGTGGGAGAGTAAGGGTTGAGTGTGCATGCACAGTGCGCATGCGGAGTGAGTGGTGGTGGGTGTTACTTTTGCTCGCACATGTGAACTGATATGAGAGGGAGCTGTGGGGATTCTCAAAAGGGGTCTCAAAAGGGGTGCTGTGGAGACGTCTCAAAAGGGAGCTGTGGAGATTCTCTTGTGGGGTGAGGTGGAGATGGCGTTTTGGAATATGTGAGTGTGTGTATGTATGTGTGAGTGTGTATGTTTTTTCTTGCGTGAATAGTGTGTGTGTGTGTGTGTTCGTGCGGGCAGGCACACAGCCCCTGCAAGTGGCATTGTGTGTGAGAAAGAGAGCCATGTGGCGGCAAATGTGCAAGGGCGTGCGTGACCACGTATGTGCAAGTAGTCTGAGCTGAGCCTGATCTGGGTGGCCAACTAGCCATGCAACACGCCCACTCCGCTCCACTCAACTCGTCTCATCTCATCTCCCTCTGGCACCTGGATGCTGTTCCATTCCACTCTCTGCATCGCTGCATTCTCAACTGAGCGTTACCATTACCATCGGATGTTGTCAAGTATGCTGCGTGTGTGTGTTCAGGCATCTCAAACCGTTTACCGTATATGTTTTGCTCTCCCTTTATCAGATGCTTCTGGTTTGTTTCCTAAGCATGGGAATCCTGGTTTGTGCATAGAAGTTGGCTTGTTGAGCTGCGCTCCTTTCTGATATGCTACACCATGCCAACCTTTATATCTCTATGCTATTAGTATATATATGTATTGGCATCACTGCCAACGTACTACCATATATAGTTAACGACAATTGTACACAGACCCACAGGCAGGAACGGAAACCTAACCTACTGGTACTTGTAGCTCCACAACCAGCCTTACTGGTTAGGAGAAGATAGCTAGTAGACAGGAGCTGGGCTAGAAGCATGAAACGAGCTAGAATAGCAGCCACGGGTGACCTGCAGCACGAATAACACAGACACGGAATAATGGGCAGGGGATGGGCAGAAGAATGAAGGTGCAGGTCGAGGTGAGGAGGAGAGGAACCACTGCAGTGTGAGGAGGGAAACAGGGCTTGAGGGAAGGACTGGAGGGGATTCATAGTCACACAATGATGAAAGCTGCATTGCATGCTACAGGTCATTGCATGCAGGAATTGCAGAGTTACAGTCTCATTAAGAGCCGATACTCTGATGCAAGATCTGGTACCCCCCCAACCCAGCCCTTCCCTCCAGCCCTGTCCCCTTCCCATGTCTAGCCCATCAGCTCTTCCCCGTCTCCCCTACCCCCGCACCCCCTCTCCCTCACTTCCCCACGACCCCACGCACCTAGCATGTCGCTCGCGGTCGGCCGCTCCCCAGCCTGCTTCCGCAGCAACCGTTTCACCACATCCTTAGCCGCACCCGACACCCCGCGCCACCGCCGCCCCTTCAACGCCACCTCTTTCCCCCGCACTGCTGCCACCAGGGCATCCTGCTCTGCTGCCCAGAAGGGAGGGACTCCCGCCAGCAGCACGTGCAGCACGACGCCTGCGGCCCACATGTCGGAGGCGGGGCTGTACTCGCCCTGCCACGCCTCTGGCGCCATGTACTCTGGGGTCCCCACCAGCTCCTGCACTCGCAGGGTCTCGCCTGTGGGGGGCAGGTCGAAGGGGAAGGGGTGAGAGGAGAAGGGATGAGGGGGGAAGGGGTGAGGGAGGAAGAGGATACAGGGGAAGGGGAGATGGGGGCAGGGGAAGGGTGGGGAAGGGGGGAATAGGAGGGGGACGGCAGGAGACGCAGGGCTCACCAGGGGAGGGGAGGAAGGTGGCAACGCCAAAGTCCGTGAGCTTGACCGCCCCTGCACACTGCAGAGCCTCCGCTGCAGCAGCAGCACCTGCTGGTGCCGTCGCCACAGAGCCTGGCGGCTTCGGAGTGTCTGCTTGCATCCCAGAAGTTGCACCAGCACCAGCAGCAGCATCAGCAGCATCAGCAGCAGCAGCAGTGCCATCGATGGCAGCAGCATCCCGAGCAAGAGCGGCAGCAGCAGCAGCAGGGTGCGAGGCGAGGAGAATGTTCTCGGGCTTAACATCCCGGTGGACAACCCCCAAGGAGTGGCAGTGCTGCAGCGCGAGCAGCAGGTGGCGGAAGATGTGTGCTGCCGTGCGCTCGTGTAAAGGACCCGTGGCCTTGATGAGGTCAAAGAGGTCCCCCCCGTCACACAGGTCCATCACCAGATGCATGCTCTGCAATTTGGGGAAGAGGGGGGAGGGAGGGAATGGGAAGGTGAGGAAGCAGGGCAAGAGGGAGGGAATGGGATGAGCATAGGAGGGAATGGCCGTCCGTGGCCTTGATGAGGTCGAAGAGGTCTCCCCCGTCACACAGGTCCATCACCAGATGCATGGTCTGCATGGGGAGAGAGGGGTGTGAAGGGAGGGGGAGGTAAGTCGAGGAGGGAAAAGGGGGAGGAGGGAAGGAATGGGGTGGGAGAAAGAGGAACGGGCCGTCCCTGGCCTTGACGAGGTCGAAGAGGTCTCCCCCATCACACAGGTCCATCACCATGGTGCACGCTCTGCATGGGGTAAGGGGGTGAGGGGAAGATATGGGAGTAGGAGGAGGGAAAGAATTGGGTGGGAGAGAGGTAGGAAAGAAGACCGAACGAGTCGTGGCGCCCCCATCTCATAGACCCTAAGAGCATCCCACCAATCCCTTTCATCATATGGCGCATATTGGCGTCCTCAAAGGTCCCGCGCGCGCAGCGCAGGTCGGTCAAGTGTCGTGCCGGGGGGAGAGAGGGGTGGGGAGGGGGTGGGGAGGGATGCACGCTCTGCATGGGGAGAGAGGGGTGGGGAGGGGGTGGGAGGAGGACATGGGGGGTGGGGAGAGGGAATGGGGTGGGAGGGAGGTAGTTAAGCACATGGATCAAGACGAAATGGGTCACAACCATCTTACAGATCCCAAAAGCATCCCACCAATCCCTTTCATCCGGCTCACCTTGGCGTCCTCAAACGCCCCACGCAGGTGCACGACAGCAGGGTGGCCTTGCACGCGTGCCATGGTGCGCACCTCACTGCGGATGGCCCGTGCATCCCGCTCCGACTGCACGTGCGGGAAGGGGGGACAGGACAAAGCAATATTTGAATTCCTCTAGAGAATCATTGAGGGCACCTCACTGCGGATGGCCCGTGCATCCCGCTCCGACTGCACGTGCGGGAAGGGGGGACAGGACAAAGCAATATTTGAATTCCTCTAGAGAATCATTGAGAGCACCTCACTGCGGATGGCCCGTGCATCCCTCTCCGACTGCACGTGCGGGAAGGGGGGGTAGGGGGGCCAGGGTGGAGGGGCAGATGGGAGGGGCATGGGAGGAGGGCAAGGCATTAGCGCTGTTGGTTTTGAGAAATCAGCCCCCCAGCACCCCCCCAGCAACCCCCCAGCAACCCCAAGCAAGCCCAAGCACGCAACTGCACCACTCCATCCTTGTGGATGCTCTTGCACGCGAGCACAAGGCCTGCGTTGTGCTCCACACAGGGGCGGATGACCATAACCGTCAAGTCACTGAAAAAATACAAACAAGCCCTGCCTGGCAAGCACGCACCTGCACCACTCCGTCCTTGTGAATGCTCTTGCATGCGAGCACAAGCCCCGTGCTGCGCTCCACACAGGGCCGGATGACGCCAAACTGCCCGCGCCCCACCTCCCTGTGCCCCACCAGGTACCACTCTGTCATGTCGCTGTGCGGCCGCAGCAACACACACGCACTCGCACTCGCACTGCTGCTGCTGCTGCTGTTGCTCGTGCTCGTGGGCTCTGCTGCTTCCGTTGCTGCTGCTGATGGCGGTTGTGCTGATGACGATTCTGCTCCTTCGTCACGTCCTCTTTCAACTCCTGCTTGCTGCTCTTCTGTTGCTGCAGCTGCTTCTGCTTCTGCTTCTGCTTCTGCTTCTGCTTCTGATTCTGATTCTGCTGCTGCTGCCGCTGCCTGTGCTGGGAATTCGGTTTCGATAGAGGTCACTGTTGTCACCTCCTTTCGTTCTTCACTACGTGTCTTCACCACGGCAGTACCCTCCTCCCTCCCCTCCTTCCACTCCTCCTCCATCTCCACATCCTCCCACTCCTTTCCCTCCCTCTCCCTCTCCCTCTCACCGCCCCTTGTGCCCATATTTGCCCACTCTGTGTCAAAAGGAGACCCAATCTCGCATCTCTCCCTGCCTTTCCCCTGCCCCTGCGCCTGACCCTGCCCCTCCTGCCCGTGGTCCGGCCCTCGCCCCACCACATTCCTATCCTCTTCATCTGCGTCTACTGCTTTATGTACATCTTCTTTACTCTTAACATCCCCATGCATGTACCATCTCGCCCTCCCTTGCTGCTGCTGCTGCTGCTGCTTTTGCCGTGCCACCTTCCTCCTCTTCCCCTTCTCCTCCAGTTCCCCAACCTCTGACCGCCTAGTGCTTATCGCCTCCTCTCCCACTCCTCCTCCCCTTCCTCCTCCTTTCTCTCCTCCTCTCTGTTCTCCCTCCTCTCCTCCTGCCGTCACCTCAGCCTCGCCTCGCCTGCCCCCTTCCACTTCACTCTCTCCCGCCTTGCCCAACAACGCATTGTTTTCCTCCACACACTCCCTCCTGCCACTCCCGCCTAACCCTCCTCGCACACTCTTCCTCTCTCCCTTCCCTGTTATCGCCCATTCCCTCCCACTCCATCCATTCCTTCGCCCTTGCACTGCCCCCTCAACCACCCATCGTCCTGCTCTATCTCCTCCTCTTTCTCCTTCCACTGCTCCTCCTCGTTCTTCCTCCCCGTTACCCTCACCTATACCCCCACCCAAGTCCTTACCCGACCCTTCTTCCTCCCTCTCACTAACTCCTTTCGTCTTCTTCCCACCCTTGCCAATCCCCTCACCCGCCCTCCCCCAACCCACCCTTCCCACCCCTCCCAGCCTTCCAATTTTCTCCAGCACACTTGCTCCCACACGAGAGCTCTTTCCCTGAAGCCCCCCTCCCAGTCCCATCCTCCCCGGATTCGTCACACCCTCCTCTTCATTCCCTCTTTCCCCATGCTCTCTCCCTTGCTCCCCAACCCCCTCCTCCCGATCCCCCTGCCCCCTTCTCTCCCTCCCACCACTCGTATGCTCCCGTTCTCTCCAACTTCCCGCTCTCCTTTGGGTCGACTTCACAGCAGAAGTGTTTGTGTGTGCTGTAGCATCCACTGTTGATTCACACCTCACCTGCTGCTCGTGCACCCCCAGCAGTGCACCAGACTGTGACTGTTGGGAGTGTGACTGCAGCAGGGGAGCGGCAGAGGGCAGGGAGTGCAGGTGGAGCAGGGAGCCACTCCTGGGGAGTGTGGTGGCAGAAGCAGCGCCTGCAGACACGGCAGCAGGGGGTTTCGATCGCGACCTCATTAAAGAATGCGCCTTTTTTAGCATGCGCTGCAGGTGCGACGAAGCTGATGATGATACAGGTGATGATGATGATGGAAATGCTGCTGCTGCTGCTGCTGCTGATGCTGCTGATGGCGATAAAGATAATGATGAAGGTAGACGGTCGCTAGAGACCAACGATGCAAGAGGCGATGACAACGACGATGATGCTGATGGTGATGACGATGATGATGACGATGGTACCAGTGATGGTACCAGTGATGCTGGGAGGGACGGGTGGGACCGTATGCGTCCACCCATGCCCCACCCTGTTCGAGATGTCATCGCATGCTTGCTCTCTTTCATTCCCTCCTTCGCCCTCTCGTTCTTCCCTGCCCCTGCCCCTGCCCCTGCCCCTGCCCCTGCCCCTGCCCCTGCCCCTGCCCCTGCCCCTGCTCCTGCCCCTGCCATTGCCACTGCGTCACCTTCTTCCAGCATGAACAGCATGGCAGATTGGTCGGATTGTTCTTCCTCACTACCACAGCGTGGTGCTTGCTGTGCCGTGCCAACCAGTGCTGCATCTGCACCCACAATCGCCACAGGCCCATCTGACACATCGGCCACACCTGGCATGCTGCTCGCCCACTCGTTTCTTACTCCCACATCGGCACTGCAAGTGGCAACACCACCAGTATCACCAGCATAAGCAGCCGCGGAAGCAGGGGTGCCAGCAGCTGCGGCAGCAGCAGCGGCGACAGAGGCTTCACCGGCAGCAGCAGCAGTGCCATTGCTGCTGCTACTGCTCAAAGGAAGCTTCGCTGCATCACACATCTTCGCATCTGCACCTGCATGTGCATTCTCATGTTCATGTTCATGTTCACCCATGGTCCCTCCATCACCGTCTGTCTCTCCTGCTGCCACATGCCTTCCTGCCACTGTCTCACCCTCCCTCCTCCCAGCCCCCATTCCCATACCCACCCTCCCCACCAGATGCCCAGGGCCTCCCCCCATACCCCCACCAGCAGCACCTGATGCCCTAACTCGCCCTCCACCTCCTCCTACTGCTCCCGCTCCCTGTGCACCCCCACCAGCTCCCCCTGCGCTGCTTTCTCCTTGCAAATTTCCTCCTTCTACAATCCCTCCCCCATCTCCTCTCTCGCCCGCGCCTCCCCTGCCCCCTGCTGCGCCGGTCCACGCGCCATGTCTGCCCAGCCTGGGACTATCCACCAGCTCCACCTGCCCCGCTGCCTTCCACCTCTCCATCCACACACCCCTGCTGCCACCACCGCTGCTGCTCCTCCTCCCACCACTGCTGCTGCTGCTGCCGCTCACCCCAACATGCAATGCCTTCTCCCCCGCTTCACTCACCTCCCCTGCCCCTCCTCGCCCTCCTCCCCCTGCCCATGCGCCTCCCCCCCCGCTTCCGCCCCTTCCCCCGTGTCTGCCCTCATCCGTTCCCAATGCTGTCTCCCCAATGCTCTCCCATCCCCCACCAACAGCAACCTCTCCCCCTGCTCCCCCCTTCACTCTTCCGCCACCTCTCCCTACGATCCCCTCTCCCCTCTCTTCCAATTCTCCCCTTCTCCCCCCGTTTCCACCGTCCGCCGCACCCCCACGGTGCACACCTGCTGGTGTCTCAGCGCCGTGAGTGTGAGTGTGAGTGTGAGTGTGTGAGTTGGGAGTGTGCGCACCGGGTGCATGCACGCGGCGGCCGGTATGCCCCACCACGCTGGCAATGGCACGGGCTCTCCACCGCACTGCTGCTGCCACGCTGCTCATTGCCAGAGACTTGGACCACCCCCGCGCTGCTATGCTGCTGCCGGGAGGGATAGTGCTGCCACCTCCGCTGCTGCTGCTGCTGCTGCTGCTGTTCTTTGTGCTGGTGCTGGTGCTGGTGCTGGTGCTGGTGCTGTCGTGGTAGTGACTGGTGGTGTCAGCTGGGTCAAGAGAGATGCTTACACTGCTGTAGCTCTTGCCAGTCTCGCCAGTCTCGCCACTGCTACTTCCTCTGCCCTTGCCATAGCCACCACCATGCTTGCTGTGATCACCATCATTAACAGCCACTCCATCACCGTCCACGTCCTCCTCGTCCTCCTCCTCACCCTCCCGCACCTTCTTCCTGCTCTCATATCCCTCCTCCTGCTCCCCTTCCTCTTCCTCTTCCTCGTCTCCCTCCCCTCCCCTCCTCCTCACTAGCCTCTCTTGCTGCTGTGTCTCCACTAATCGCCCCATACCCGTTCCCAAACCACCACTCTCCCCCTGCTTCCACTGCAGCAACTGCATCCCAACCCCTCCACCCATCCCCCTGTTCCCTTCCCCTTCCTCCTCTTCCATCCCGCATCTCCTCTCTATCACACCCCCCGCCCCCTGCCCCACCCCCTCTACCCCTCTCGCCAACACTCTCTCCCCTTCACCACCCTCTTCCCCATTGCCCCCCCCACTGTCTTCCTTCGAAGCAGAGGGGCTAACGGCCGGATTCCGAGCCAATGGCGGTCTGCCACGTGGGCTATCAAATGCTCGGATGGCAAACTGTGGCGTCACAGGGCAACTACCTGTCGCAATCCACCTCCCACCACCAAGCATACCCTCCAACCCACCACCACCGCTCACATTCCCACCCATACCGCCGCCCACGCCACTACCATCCAAAGAACCATCCATACGCCCTCCCAAGCCGCCTATATTGTTCAAACACGCCCCCATACTGTCACTGCGTATCATTCCCACGGCTTTCATTAGGTTTCTACTACTCCTCGGGCTGCTCGTTGCGCTCATACTCCCCGCTCTCCCGATGCTCACCCCGCGTCCGCCATAAGAGTCGCCCCAGTTCCCGCTATAGCTCTTCGAGATACCTCCCCCAGCCCCTGCGCCCATCCCCCCACCGAAACCCGCGCCCACACGCGCGCTCGGCGCTCCCTCCGCTCGGATTCCTCCGCGCGGGCTCCATGCAGCTTCGCTGCTCGCCGCGCGCTCGATTCCCCGCAGCGGGAGCTTCCGCCAGCCCTCCGCGGATACCCCCGCCGCCGCCGCCGCCGCTGCTGCCCCTGCTGCTCCAACAGGCTTTCTTGGCGCGTGGGCTTCCCCGCATCGCGCCGGAAGCCCCGCAAAAAGGGGCGGTGAACCGGCGGAGTGGCTATGGCCGCGCGAGTGGTTGGCGGGAACTGGGAGCGGGGCGGAGCGGGGGATGCGGGAGGGCGGGCGCGCGGGATGGCGGCCGGGGTGAGGATAACCCGGCTGCGCATGCGCGGAGGAATGAGAAAGCGCATACGCTTGCGCGTGCGCGTGCGCGTGCGCAATCGGGTGCGCATGCGCATGTGGTTGGGGATGCGGAAAGGGTGCGCTGCGGGGGACCCGGGGCGCGAACCTAGTGCGAGGCGAGTGGGTATGCTTGGGGGTGAGGAGGAGCGAGTTGTTGCTCGGACTGGGTTGAAATGTTACCAAATTGTTCGAATGTCGGTTTGTCCCAGAAACGGCGCAGCTTGTACCGGGGACAACGGAATTGACACCGTTCAGAGAGGGTTGAGAGTCAGCAGGGACGGGGAATTGCGATCTGCCTGCCTCACCACCACTGCTGCTCGCAAACCCCCGCAGATCACAGGCAGCAGCAGCAGCAGCAGCAGCAGCAGGAGGAGAAGCAGGAGAAGCAGCAGCAGCGCTGCCCCTCGCATGCGTCACGATCGCGTTCTCCGCAGAATTAATCGCCCTCGTTCCCAGCAATGGCTCCATCGACATCGCCCGCGGCAAAGCCGCAGACCGACAGCCGCTGCTGCTCGCCGTTGCCGCCGCCGCCGCCGCTGCATGCTTGCTCGTAGTAGCAGTACCGAGACGCGTAGGAGAGATGTCACCAGGAGCAGTGCTCATAAAAGGAGATGTCACCGAGTCGGCGTCCTGGGCCGCAATAGCGATGGCTATGCTGCTGTGTGCTCGAGTCAGCCTGCCTCCAGCGCCAATTCCATTTCCACACACCCCGCCGCCGCCGCCGCCGCCGCCGCCGCCGCCGCCGCCGCCGCCGTTGCCGCTACGCCCACCTCGAACCGGTTGGCTCACATGCCGCGTCTCACATGTGGCACTGCCACTAGCAGTATCACTGAGCGATGTATGAATAGCAAGAGCAGAACCCGAAGCAGAATCACTACTAGTGGTACTAGTAGCAGCGGCGGTAGAAGCCGGGTAAATACCACTATCCATGGAATTTGACAGCGCGTGGGGGGAGAAGCGCGAGTTTTTGCGCGCGTGCCCCGGCGCCGATGGTGCTCCGCGCGTCCCGCTTTCCGCCGCGGAAGGGGAAATCCCAGGGCGATGGGGCTGCCGGGGGGAACGGGGAGATAACGGCGAGAAACTGCCCGGGGAGGTCCGGAGTAGTAGACTATCGCGGGCGCGGGGCGAGGGGGCGGCGGGGCTGGGCTGGTGAGCGGGCGAGCCCGGATCAGCCGCGCTAGACGGCCGCAGCTGGCGAGCGCCAGCAGCTGCTCGTGCGACCGGCGTTGGCGACGCGCCAGTGGCAGTGCCCGCAGGGGTGGCGGCGGGAGTGGTGGCGCGGGTGGCCGGGGAGGTGGCAGCGGAGATGGCAGCGGAAGAAGCAGAGAACGATGCCGCGCGGCTCAGGTTCACGACCGCTTGCTCCGCTACCGCCGCCGCCGCCGCCGCCGTAGCCGCCGTGCTGTGCGACGGTGTCAGCCTCCTGCTGCCGCTACTGGCGCTACCTCCACGGCCGCAGCTGCTGCCACCGCCGCCGCTGCTGATGCTGCTGATGCTGATGGTGCTGCCGCGGCTGCTGGGACGAGACGGCTCGCCATCATCCTCTTTGTCTTCCCCCTCCTGCGAGCTCCTATCCATGGCCGAGGACGACGACGACAGTGACGACGAGCTTCTCTTCGAGAGGTTATCGCCACTGCTCCACTGGCGCGCCGCGGACGACGCGACGCTACCACTAGTAGTCATTGCCGCCGCACCCACGGCTCTCACGGTTAGCGGCGTTAGCGAAGCCCCGGCGTTGCGGCGAAGCAGCAGCAGCTGCGCTGGCCTCTGCTGCTGCTGCTGCTGCGGCGGCGGCTGCTGCCGCTGTCGTAACTCGCGCTTCAACCGCTCGATCCGGCCGGACTGGTGGCCAGGAGTAGCGGTCGCGAAGTCCTCGTCGCTGCAGGCCTTGTCAGGCTGATCCATAGAAAGACGTGTTAGAGGGCCCTACGACAGCAAGGGCCCTCGACGACCGTTTGACTTGGCAGGTCGACTATGAACGACCAAGACGAGCAGTCCAACAACCTATGACTTGGCGATGGTTGCGTAGTGACGCGATGTGACTGCGGCAGCACTAAACAGTCATTGCTGGGGTGGTGTTAGTCTAGGGAAATCGTGGGCATGAGTCTTGGGAGTTGTGGGTGGTTCTTTGTGAGTCTCGCCATTTCTAGCTGTGCTGGGAGAAACGGCGTGCTCGGCATTGACTTCCCTGCTGAGTTGGGTTGGGAAGTTGACGAGGCGCGTTCGCTCACCCACACACCACTTTCGTGGGGTGGGTTACTCCGCAGCGCCACGAAACGTTTGTGCAACTCTCCCGTAGCCTATATCAATCTTGTGTGTTTGCTTTTGTATTCATTAATGATATTACAATGCTACTTGGTTTCTTCCTTAATCGTTTGACCAAGAACGCTACCAATACTCTACCGAGATGCTGGCGCAACACCGTTCTCATAGCAGAAACTCACTCGCTATCGCTACGCTCTCTAATATATTCCTTCATGGTGCGGTGAGCGTGGAACGAACACGCATAGCTTCCCGTCGACGTTCGTTAGTATACTCGCCTTGGCGTGCGGCGTTAGTGAAGGGGGCTCATTAATTTAAGTTGAACCTCTCTTAATTTCCCTCCAGTTATGCTCTCGGACCCAAGGATGGGGCGTTTGGTAATACATTACCACTCGTCTGAGGACCCTTGTGAGGTGACCCCGAGACGAGGGATTTAAGGAAGGAACAGTTCATTTTAATTTGTGGCACCTTATAGAGACGTCGTAGAGGATGAGTACGGAGGAGGCGGACGTTGAGGCCGGCAATATTCGCGCATTAGAGGAGGATCTCGTAGCCCGTCATTCTCGTGGTGAGCTTAGTGATATCGAGTACGAGCTCATGCAGGAGGGATTACGCGCTCGTCGGCGTCGCGATCATCCCTCGTCACGTGTAGAGAATGTTGAGCAAGCTGCGGGAGGTACTAGTGGGTGGGATATGGCTGTCGATGGCGGAAATAGCGATGACGAGGAGCTTGATGGGTTGATGTCGCGTGGGGTCCTGCGAGGACCGACTCGGTTTAGTACGGCTAGCGTCGGCGGTGTACAGGAGCGTGTTCATCGAGCGGCTGCGTCACGAGAGCGTGCGAATGTAGGACGGCGGAGCGTTGCTGGAGGAGGGAATGCGGAGGAGTACGATAGTGAGGCTATGCCGGGCGTTACCCCGATTGGATCGATGACGAGGGACGAGGGAATAGCCCCCAACTATGGCTTCTTCAAATTCACTCCAGACAAGATCGTCGTACCTAGGCCGTTAGAAGGACGTCACGACCTGTCGATGTGGGTAGAATCTATCGAGCCTCAGCTTGAGATCGCCCAGCGTAAGCGATTCATCGACGGTACCACACCTGCTCCCCCAGCGCATGCAGTTGCGCTTGTCACACAGTTTCGTGCAATGCAGTTACTGACATTCACCACGATTTCCCGATGCTGCTCCCAAACCGTACAGATCGCCCTTAAGGCGTGTCGCATGAAGGTAGATGCCGGCTTTCAGGCATGGCAGTTTATTATGCGCACGTATATGGCGAAGGACGACCTGTACATAGGTCAGTTAGAGCAAGCGCTCACTAACCTCGAGATGGGAGAGCACGAGTCCGCCACGTCCTATTGCAACCATGCGCAGCAGATCCTAGTGAACCTGAGGATGGCCGGTGTAGATTACTCGCAGGCGTCGTACATTACTCACGTCGTGAAGGGGTTGCCGCAGCAGTACAACCTCTTACGTAGGATGCTGAAATTGCCGCAGGTGCGCAAGGAGCTGGACGAGGACACCCTCGCTAGCTACATTATCGAGGAAGAGTGTACGTTGACGGCGGAGGGACGGAAGGACCAATTTCTTCCCCAGGCGAACCAAGTGTTTACCAAGAAGGGTAAGCCCTATTTTCAGCATACTTCATCCCCTTCCCCTCCCACTACGGCACAGCAGCAGCAGCCTAAGCATGGGGGTGGGGTTAGTGAGGGAGGGGAGAAGTGGAAAGGGGCTAAGGATGGCCAGTCAAAGGGGGGGAAAGGAGGGTTCAAGGGAAATTGCTACGTGTGTGGGCAGCCGTGGCATATTGCGAAGTACTGTCGGCAACGGGCGAATAAGGAGGCAGACAAGGGTGGAGAGGGTTCTGGAGGCAGCAGCGCGGGTGAAAAAGGGGGTGATGGCTCTAAGGGGAGCGGGCAGTCATCATGTGCAATGGTGAAGCCCGTTGTAGAGCATCCTCCTCCCGTCATGCTAGAGCCTGAGGCCAAGGAGGGCTTACAGGCTGTTGCAGCTGCTGTGAAGGCGAACCCGAGCGTCGTGCTCTTGGATAGCGGATGCTCCCACCATCTCATGGGAGATCGCTCTGCCTTTGTGGAGATGAGCAGCGACGGCGGTATCAAACATGTTATTGGCTTCAACGGCGCTCCTCAGGAGGTGCAGGGGCGAGGCACAGTCGCTCT